ATTCTGCTCATCACAGCATGAGCGCTGTGACATGGAGTGGCCCAGCATCATATGGGATATCATGGAGAAACAATGTTAGACCTCAGATCTCCCAAATTCTAGGCAGGCACCTTATTGCATATCTCCCCCTGAAAAGAACCACCTTACTTTTCCATCCAGTACACTGAAAGATGCAGGGGTTTTCTGTAATAAGCCATAGGTAGTTGTTGCAGTGCATGAGAACACACACACACCTTTACCTACATTCATTTGGATGCAGCATATACCTCTTTATATATGTGCACATAAGTCTAAATGTAATATGAACAGCAGCAAATCCATTGAAAACAAAACCACTATTCTGTATACATCTACAATATTATTAAAAATACCGAATTAATAAATACATGTTCTTGACAGATGAATTTAGAAACCATCAATTAAGCTTGGCATTCATTAGGTGGGGAGAAGTCCAATCAGATTTCACTGACTCAACAAAGCTGCCTATAAATTGTGGGCTTTTTGTTCTGACGTTTGATGAATTATTCTTCATAATCCACTGTCTACTGCGATAAATCTAATCTTTCAGTTTTTGCTGTCTTAATAATTCTTAGAGCAACACTGTGACATTTTGTTTTCGTAAAGGGGATAGAAAGACTGGGACAATGGAAAAAAACCCTCACTTGCTGTCTGGGAAGTATATTACTCTATACCAAGGTAATATTTTTCTCACACCTAGAACTCTGGTTTTGCAGACTTGGAGGGATCAGTGAGACCTTAGCAACATAGGCCGTTATGTGTCTCTTGTTGAAAAGATGACCAGCTTAGGATGTGGTTCACATTCCTTAAACCAGGAAGGTCATTCAGATTTCTGAGAGCAATAGCGTGCTAGTTTTGGTAAAGCGAATTCCAAAAGTTAAGAATGCCTTCTGTTATTAGTGATCCTGCATCTCACTGCTCCCTAAATCTGTCCTGAACAAACTGCTGACACATGGGCAACATTCATCACAGTGGCAGAGCAGAGCCACCTCATCTCATGTAGAAGATACTGTATAGTGTTGGGCTGGAGAAGGGCTCCATGACTTAGGCTCCTGCTCCAGAGCATCGTGCTAGCAGCCTTTCTGGAGCGGGAAGAGAGCATACCTCTGTGTGAAGTGGGCAAGTTGAAACCAGGCAGTAATATGCCATCATTTGCTGCAGCACATGGATATAAAAAGGTTTGGATTAAGAGGCAATATATTTCAAAAGAAATTAGCTAGCAAGACATGCACATTTAACTTTTATGGGTTAGAGATTAAGATATCAGGCTGGAACTTGGGATATCCGAATTAAATCCCAGCTCTGTCAGACTTCTCAGAACATGCTAGGCAGGTCGTGTAAGGTAATACTTTCAGAAAGGACTCAGGATTTGGAAGTTTAAATCCAATTGATTTCCAGTATCTTCCTAAGTGTTTAAGGGTAGGATTCACAAAAAATACTGAGGCATCCTGATGCCCAGCATTGTGGCATTGGGTAGTATGTGCTGCAGACCACGGGAAGAACAGCTGTGCTTTGAGAAAGCACTTCAGCATGTGAGGAAGCCTGTAGCTGACATCTGGGAACTCCTAGAAAGCGTGAGTTTGTGCAGGGCCTGTTGTGACTGTGCACCTCATACCATGGCCCTCTGGGCTTAATGTGGTCTCTAGCTGCAACCTCAGCATGAATATGTACTAGTAAATGTGTAAGTAGATAGATCCTGTTAGAGCTTTTATATCAGTTCCTTGAGGTGTGAATACTAATACCAACAATCATGCATATTTTGCGTATTTAAAATTAAATGAGCTTCATTCTTTAGAATTAAACAGTAAGGGCTGTGTTTCCAGCAAATGAAGTACAGTGCACATTCATTTGCTGGTGCAGCACATGCATGATGGGGACCTGTGCAGAAGGAGCGAGGGAAACCATTGTGTGCAGGGACACCACTCACCTGTACAGCTGTAAACCTGCAGCTGGCTGTCCTATTCCTTTAAAACAGAAGCCCTAAAGTTCCTTTTAAACCTTTATTAAACCTGTCAGGAAACTATGCTTGTTTCATCTCCTGCCAGGATTACAGATGGTAACAGTGAGTTTGATGAGGCCATTTGAGACCAGCTGTAGCCTGGAAAAGACTTGAGAGTTCCTTAAGTCAGGTGGACTCCAAGAGTGTCCCAGACCTTTGTTTGCTAATTATCCATCCTGGAAATGACAGGTTTTTTTAAGGGTGCTTGTCAGCAGTAAGGGTCTGCAGCCTGTTCCAAGAATTCCCTGCTTGCATGAAATGGGTGCGGCCACCTTCCCTGGGGAAGAGCCCACTCCCTGGCAGGCAGTGTGGTTATCAGGCTCACCTCTTCTCTGCTTCCATATCATACCGCCTCTTGCTCGCTTTTGCCTGTCTGGGACACACAGCCTGCAGCAGAGGCATTAGCTACCTCCAGTGAGCTGAGAAAAGACAATTCCATAATGAATGAGGGTCATTTGCTAAGTGGGGGGTCCTGGACCCCTGCCATAATTGTGCTTCTGCTTTATCTCAGCCTCACACCTGCTCACGTAATGGCTCAGCTGTGATCTGCTCCCTCCCCCTGTGTATGCTCTGCCCTTCTTCCCCTGGGGTATCCATCAATTCTGTAGCCCTGTTGCAATCCCTCGTCTTGCTGTCCTTGTCTGCAGCCTGTGAATATGCACAGATTTGCCCTGGAATTGTGGGAGGGCCACTGGGTTGGCTCTACTGGACATCACTCTTAACCTGACTTCCATGTCCTAAGTAGCAGGTTCTAAAATGAAACTCTTCTATCCCAAATAACTCCTAGATTCAGCTTTCTCCCATTATGTTTCTTTAGAAAACTTAGTCACATGATAATGAGGTATGTATTATTCCTGCCAGAGGGAACATGTGCATCTTTTCTTTCCCCTGCATGCATTCAGTACTGGTGAATATGGCTGGATTGACAGTGTAAGCAATTAAGAGGTTTTGAAATCCAGAGCAGATGGAATTTTATCCAATTTATATATGATCTTACTATAAATGTACCTTACTGGATTCAAGCCAGTGAACTCCCAGATCTGTGTTTTAACCTTTGGAGGATGTTACCCAGCCTGTTGACAATTAGAGTGGTAACCACTTCGTAAAAAGGTACATCCCTCTGATACAAGGATATAGGGTAGTGAGAGAATTGAAGAAAGCCCCAGCTTGACCTCATGTAGCAAGTTCTTTGTTTGCATTTTTTTCTTCCTTGTGGGATCTTACAGCCCAGCAGGCTCTTGGCTACCTTAAATCTTTACCCTTAACAGATCCTCTCTTCAGGCAATACATACACTTCACATAAAGGTAAAAGTCTCTGTGTCTTGAACACATTTTCTCTTGAGACACAAATGTCAATGGGTTTGAATTATGGACCTGCTGTAATTAAAAACCACATAACTAGTTGTTTTTAAATGCAGTTGTTTTACTTAATTGATTTTGCCGACAGGACCAAAGAGAATTAATTAAATAAATAAAATGCACCTTCCTAGTGAATTACTGGAGGCAGCTGAGTCTGTGTTGGTATCTAATTACTGCAAATGCTCCAGTTTGTTGCCAGCAGTAGTTTTCTGTGGAAGGAGCTGGGAGAGAAGGGGTAAGGTGGTGTGGGAGGGGGCTCATTCCTTGGCAGCTGCAGGAGGGAACAGGCTGCTCCTTGTAGTATTTTTCTTCTTTTTCAGCAGAAGAGTACTCGTTTATGGCTTTGCATGAAGACTTTGCTTAGAAGGTCTTTATTCATATTTAATTGCTAGGTTGCTGCAGCTCCCATCTTTAATTACCTTTTAAAGAGCAGGTTATAAAAATGCACTGACATTCTTTCTTTTTTGTTACTGCATAAATTACAGGCTTCTCAACTGCTCACTTGAAATCAGTTGAGCCCGCGAGAAGTGTAGGACAGGTTCCCTTTGCTGACTTCTGGAAACCTCAGAGCTTATGTTCACCTTGCTCTACAGAGCAAAAATCCTCAACTAGCATTACATGAACTATGCCTGAAGCATACCTGTGCTGGCCCTTCCTGTGAGCTGACTGACTGTGTGGAGGGGCCTGGCTTGTTAGCTAGGCTGAAATTGCACTGCCATGGTTGTAGTGTTTGCAGAGCCTGTGCTGCCTGGTGCTGACAAGAGGGTCTCTAGCAGGGTGCTTGGTTATGCAGGGCAGAGGCCTCTGCCCTCTCCCATTGCCTCACCTGTGTCTACTTTGGATTTTGCTTCCTGGGCCTGCTTCTGGTAAATCTATTTAATCTACATCTTTCGTTGTAGTCTAGTCCTGGATTTCTCAGCCAGAGCTTCTAATAATTTCTTCTCCTGCTCACCAAGTGCTTTTCTCTCTCTGACTGGCGCCTCTTTGAGTTGAGAGCACTGCTTACTTTTACAGAAGGTGTGACAAAGTCCATCACATTAAACAGGCCAAGCTGTCGAGGCTGAAACAGCAATTTTTGTCCCCCTGCCCTGAATGCTGCTCTTAACCACTGCTCCCAGTCATGTGCTGGCTTTCACCAAGTAAGCTAGCTGCTGCTGCTGTAATGCACAGGAATACACACTGCCAGGTTTCAGGGGTGGTGGTGGGTGGTATTAAATATCTGCAAAAGAAATATGTGCAAAGGAACAGCTGTTGACTTCTGCACCCAGGATGCTTACCATAATCATTCCCAGCTGTTGACTTCTGCACCCAGGATGCTTACCATAATCATTCCAAAACATTTTCAGGACAGCCCAAAGAAGTCTCTCTCATATTGCCTGGCCACTACAAGTCCAAGATGAAACATATTGCTGAGACTCTGTCACAGGTTTCCATGAGCAGAGTATCTCCAGGGCACTTGACTCAGAGGCCAAACAATGACAAGGCTAAGGGAGGGGACAGAAGAAGGATGAAAGGGCTGAGTCTGTCCAGCTTTGGCACAGGAACTCTCTGGCCTGTGGGCAGGACTTTCCTGAGAACAGCCTCTGTTACCCCAAGCTGATGCCTCTTTCTCTTCTTTCGGCAGATAAAAGAGCTCTTTATGAGTTTTGAGGACACTCCCCTGGGAGCAGCATCACTAGCCCAGGTACACAAAGCAGTGCTGCAGGATGGGAGAACGGTGGCAGTGAAAATCCAGCACCCCAAGGTCCAAGCTCAGAGCTCCAAGGATATTTTGCTCATGGAGGTAAAACTACTGGTTGACATCAACTTACAGAACAATTGCCACTGAAACGTATAAGAATATTCACCCATGGTGTAAGCAGGTATAACAACACCAATATGTGGCTTCGAAACTTCCACAGAGATCAATGCTGTCTTGCAGGATTAATACAGAAAATTGGTGAGGATTGCAGTGCTGGTGATTGTGTGGATGGAGACTGAACAAAAGGGTAAGAGGGAAGGAGGGCAGAAGGAGAAGACAGGTAAAGATAAATGACATCATAGTAAGTCCATATAAGATTTAAGAAATAGAGAGTCCTCAAGTCTCTTTACAGCCTGTGTGCCCCTTAACTGGTTTCAGTCCTCTTGTAGTCAGGGCTGTGTGGCCAAGGAAAATCACAGTCCATGATTAGCATGTTTTTTTTTTTGACTAAATTCTGTTGTGGATTCAACAGTGGATGAGGTTGCTATGATTCAGTTTTGTTTCTTGATCAGCTCTGTAATGCTGAACTGATTCATGGTAGAAACAAAAACACTAAAATATGGAGAGGTTCACCTAACAGGGGCAAATACACAAATGAGGAATTCACCTGGGGAAATGTTTCAATGTGTATAGAACAGGAAATGGACACAGGGCTGAGGTGGAGGAGATGGGAAGGATTAGGTCTGTAAGTAGAGCAAATATATCTATATATATATATCATATTATATGTATTATATATATTATATATATTATATATATTATATATATATGAGCAAATATATATATATACATATGTATACACACATATATATATAGACAGACACACACACATATATATATATTTGCGTGTCCATATATACGGTAAGTGCACATTAATTGGCAGATGGGTAGGTCCATGGTACTAAAGAAGTGAAGCTGAGGAATTCTGGTCAGTGTTTGGAGGGTATTGCTCATGCAGTAACACTTCTCCGTCACTGTGAAGAAGAAGATCAGAAATCAAAAGTTCTGCCAGCAACCTCTCAGAGTACCATGTAACTAAAGCTTCTCTAGGCAGTTAAAATACCCTGCTTTGAGCAGTCCTGGCTAGTCTGCATAGCAGCACAGCTGTTTCCAGCTGGGGAACATGAGTTTGCAGCTGAATATTTAATTTGAACTCATAGCGAAAGAAATTTTTGGGTTCCGAAGAGATGTCCCAGTAAGATAGGATCTGTCTGTTTCAGTGCTGGTTTGAAAACACAGAATTGTTTGAACTGGCTTTGGGTCCAGCTATAGATTTGAATTTGATTCAGATCTTCTCCAGGACTCACTGCAGTGATCTGCCCAATGAATTTGCTCCTGTGAGTCATCACATGCACAGCACTTCTCAGGCGGCTTATGACATCCTTCACTCCCTCCCAAAACAAGGTGGCAGAAAAAGAGCAGTCAAGGATTAAGGATGAGCAGGTAATGAAAGAGTATGGGATCAGGGCAATAAGAGGATTCTATGTGAATGACCCAAACCTGTGTTTACCTTGAGACATTTGCCCTTCTGATAGTGAATATCACAGAAACATATCTCCTCACACCATGTTGCTGTGATTGCTGATTATACTGGTAAGAGACATTTAAACAAATTATTTTAGAATGATTCCTGTCTTTTCTGGCTTTAAACTATTCCTCTTGGGAAACTTGAAGCTAAACCAATTTATTTTCTTTTGGTAGTTTAGTACTGTCTTTCTTGTACAGACAGTCTGGTTTACCATCCACATGTTGTATATAAATAGGTATTAGGCAAATAGCTCAGAATATGACACATGTGGTTTTCTTTATAAAAGGTCTCTCTTGTGGAGTCTTGGCTTACTTGTATCATCATATCCTTGTGTGGGACTGTTTTTGTGTAGACTGCATAGAAAGCTAGGTCACATGCTAATGTTCTGGTCCTTTAAGAATCAGACAGACATTGAAGCTAGGTAAAGAGGTTAATTTAAATATTGATGGAGATGGTCTCATTTAGAGACTGAAGGGAAAGAATCTGAACAAGAAAGGGAGAATTCATAAATTCACTTGAGATTTCGTAGCATCAGTTGCTGACTCTTTAAAAATCAGTACAGCATCTGATAAACCCAGAGAGAGATACCTCACTGCTCTCTATATATCAATAATTATTTCAAGACCATATGTCAGAAAAGGGGTAGGCAAAATACTTGTTAGGATGTTCCTGCTGATAGTCAAGTTGGCAATTTTTTTGAAAAAAGCATTTGAAGGAAGTGAAAAAAAATGCATTAATTTTGTCATGTCAGGTACCAATGAAATAATCTTGGAGATCCTCTGAAGTTTATGTTCGTGTTCATGAAGATCGCTGGTTACATTTCATTTGGGTGACATAAATTTGAAAGGATTTATGCCTCTAGATGTAGCAGTAAAAAGTACAATTCTGTAGTGTCTGGAACCTGGTGATTACATTTTTAAAGGAACATTGAGTTTGCAACTGACATTTAGATAAGAGAAGTTGAGACGGGGTGGAGAACAAACGTTGTCACACAACTGAACAGGAGCAGTGATGGTTCATAAATTTATTTTTGTCATACATTTCAATGATGGCAGCTTCCTGTGTGTACTTTAAATGTTCCTCCTGCAGTGCAGGAGTTTCCACCTCTATGGTGGAGATCAAGAAAGGGAAACTCTGCAATAATACACACTTAAAGGCCTGTTTCTGTTTCCAGATAAATGTGCAGAACAGGTGAAATGAAGACAGCAAAGTGCCATTTTTATGGTTTTTTTACTTGTTTTATGACTCAGTTAAAAACAGCTAAACAAATTTTTTACTTCAGGTGGAGAAACTGTCCCTTTGTTTGAACAGAAAGCATACTTGGCTGCTGTGCAGCTTTGATTATGCCATCCAATTGTGTAATGTTGATTCTCTCACCCTTAAATGTTGCTTCAATCAAATGTTTTTGGCTGAGATTTTCAAGATGCTGTGTCACTGAATATCTAATCCCTTTAAGAAGAAGAGCATTCCATGTGGTGGATATATGATATTTGGAAAATACTTCAGCCTTGTGAGGATGGCTTTGCCTGATGCTGAAGAGCAACTTGCTCTCTGACCCCCACCAGAAGTGTTACTTAAAGATGTGTATCCTACTAATTGTATCCAAACTCCACTGTCTTCTTTGAACTGCCCAGAGGATTTTCTCTGCTCAGCAGTGGAAGTAATAAAGAGGTGACAAGTCTTACTTTAGATCTTCCTCATCTACATTATCTGAGATCTGTTCAAATGAAGCCAAAGAGTGACTTGTAGAATTATAGGACTCAGAAGAAGGTGTTGCTCCAGGGCAACACCCTTGGTGAGATCTGGTCATGTGGTCTCTTCTCCAGAGCTTTGTTCTTGTCTAGGCAGCAGCCAGCTGGCCTCTTTTTGATGTGTGTGCCATCATTTAACTCCTAGGTGTGCCTTCCTCTGTGGAGGTACAGGCCAAAATTTGTCTTACATGACCAAGGCATGATACTGTGTTTTATTGTGATACTGCAGGAACTCTAAAAGCACTTAGTTTTTTTAATCTGGAAGTTTTATGGAATGATACTATCTAAACATCACTGTGTGTAGCTATGTGACTTTGGAGCCAGCATGCAACTAATTGTCTGTTTGCTTGTTTTCAGGTTCTCCTCTTGGTTGTGAAGCAGATTTTTCCAGATTTTGAGTTCATGTGGCTGGTGGAAGAAGCTAAGAAGAATCTGCCCTTAGAGCTGGATTTCCTCAATGAAGGCAGAAATGCTGAGAAGGTTGCTCATATGCTCAAAAACTTTGACTTCCTGAAGGTGAGGAAACACATATTTCTGTCTGTATATGTGCATGAATAGTCTCCTTTACTATGTCTTATTCCCATCATTCACCAAATGGAGGAGCCAGGGAGGGAGAATGGAGTTCAGCCCCTCTGTGTTGTTCATTCTAGACTGCTCTGCTGATACAGACCAGAAAATTCTCCGAGACATGCCTTCTTCTTGTCTGTTTCCTACTGAATGCACTCTGTTGGGTCAGGAGTGGTGGCTTGGGACCAGTTGTCTTTGGAGCTTGCTACTCATTTTCTCAAGTTTTCTTTCTGAATTTCATTTTCAATTTCTTTCTGAACTTGTTCAGAGACTATGGATTTGCCATCCTTTACTGAACCTGAATTTGATGGTACCTTTCCTTGGGCTCTGTCTCAGCTGAGGGTAAGAAATGGATGCAGAACAGAAAAGCTAGACTGAAACTGGTGATGTCAACTAGTATTGTGGACACCTTGTATCTCAGGAAGAAGCATATTCACATGAGTCCTTCCTACTGCAAAAAAGCACATTCTCACTCCAGAACTGGACATTTACCCTTCGTACACATCTGTGGCTAATTCATGTTACCTTCATACAGAAATCAAATTGCACCCATGTTTGGTCTTCCCCTCTGATACTTTTATCCCACCTCCCCTGCCACACACTTATGTCACTGATAAATGTCTGAAATACAACCAGACACGTACACATCTCGTTCTTGGAAAGACATATGCTCACATCTTCAAAGTCACACGTTCAGAAATCTTTTGCTGAGGTACAAGAGACACAAGCCTCCAGTGTGTGCTTTCTGGAAACACACATAGTGCCATGTTACTGTGCCCATGGCACGTACAGAAAGGCAGCAAAAATCACACCCTGCTGTGGATCTTCTTGTATACATACTTCTAAATGAGCTTGCCACCTCCTATTTATGCAGAAGTCCCAAGATAGGAGTGACAGCGGTCTGAAATAAGGTGAGTTTTTGTTAGGCTTTACAGGCTGATAAATCCATTTTTCCTTGCTTCTTCCACGTAAGGGCTGTAATTCCATATTGCCCAATGCCAGCTTTGGAGCAGTCCTTTTGGAGCCCAGTGGCAGCATTGGCCTTCCCATAGACACAGATAGCTAAAAGCCACCACATGGAAGGTCAGAGGCCAATGGATTTGTTGAGTGGGTGCTTATCAGAAGTGATGCACCTTAGAGAGTGTATCTGTTGCAGCTGTAAGTAGCATACTGTGAAGTAAATTCCCATGGAGGCGGCCAAACACCTCCTTGCTGGGCTAAGGACCTATCATGATATCAATATGTGTAACAATAATAAATGACTTGAGATGGCCAAATAATGGATCCTTCTGTCTGACCTGCCAATTCAGAGACATGTTCATCACCTAAAAGCAACAGAAGAATTGGGCTCCTGTATCATAAATTTTCCTAAACACGCTAGAAAGCTGAGAAGTAGATTTTGTGCTGTGAACCTGTTTGAGCTTTTAAAGCCAGAGATAAATTATTTCCACACACAAGCATTAGAGCCAAACATCTGTGAGTAATTAAAAAAATCACTGAAGAATTTGGCTGTGATTGAGAGAGGCATCTCCAATAGCATGAATAGCTCTTTACAAGCCCACTGACTTGCCCGTGTAAATCTTGAGACAAGAATGATGTCATTGGAAGTGATACAAGGGATCAGTGAGCTAGATGGGATGGGGAGCTGTTAGTTTTGGAGTTAGCAGGCTTTCTCACCAATCGAACTGCAAAGAATGAGCAGCCAGATAAGCTGGAAGGCTGTGAGTATCTGAATCCCCCATGCTCATAGTGGGCCTATAGCATCAAAGTCTAAGCAAGGTTCACATGCAGAGTATACCAGGAGTGTTGAATGGTGAGACTGAAGGACATTGAAGCAGAGGAACCTTTGATGTAAGGTGGCACACACATGGTGAAGTAGAAGTGGTCTTTCTAGGACATGAATAGGAGGGAAGCAGATAGTGTCTAAGAAACTAGGGTATTGTCAGTAGTTAAAAGCAACAAATGCTGCTTCTTCAGGAGCTATGATGAGCTACAGTGTCTGGCTGGTCATCCCCTGGTTTTGGTCAGTTGATGGACAACACCTCTTACTTCTTCCTGTCCTGCCTCAAGGTGCTGGTCCTGAGTCCATGGCTGAATCAGGGGGTGAGGAAAGGGGACTGGCTTATTATTTGCATGATCCAAAATTATCATCTCTGTACTGGGGCACAGTAATGGGAGTGGGCAGAGCTCCCTTATGTCTTTGCTAAAATGTACATGTGTGGCTTCACTCATGTGCAAAAGCAGATTAGGGTAGATTGGGGGTTTGGTCAGCACAGTAACATGAGGAATTTCTAAAGGGAATTCAGCAAAATGGCTCTTGACAATAGGGACTTCAGCATGGGAGAAATTTACCTGGAGAGAGAGGCTAGAAAATGGGGAGCCATCCTGAGAGACACTTTCATCACTGACTCCTTGGATGACACCAGACCTCTTCTCTGGTACCTTACTCAGCTTGATCTACCACCGCTTGAATGAAAGGTGCTTTGACATTTTACACTCATTACTGTGTTGCTGGCAATAAGATAGATAAGGGTCTTCCCAAACAAGTCCCTTATTTGTGACACTTGATTTTTCTCCCAGTTCAATTGCAGATGGCCTTAAGTATGCAGGGTTTATCAGCTCAAAGGCATTCATGTTCCAAGGGGCACTGCAGACATACAGTTTATGATGATGGCTTGTAATTTTTAAAGCTGCTTGTTTGTGTGTAGGAAACAAGATGCAGTTCCTGTCTAAAGGAGCTGAGTGGATGATTCAGAAACTTGCAATAGGTACTAGTTAAACAGCCCAGCTAGAGGAGCTGCAGAGCAGGTAAGAAAGGTATCTCAGACATCACTGGTAATTGGAGGTGTTCAGAATCCTGTAGAGCGTGGTCAGAACTGTTACATGAGATCAGATACTACTGTAGTTGAATTGGTGTATTATCCTTGTGTACATTGATGCTGTCCTGTGGAAGAGGCTGATAGATGGAATTACCTCCCTTGTGCTCATCAAAAAAGCAAAGTCCTCGCTTCAGCTGCTTTCATTTTTACTTCTTTTCTGAGATTTGTGTGATATATTCTCCTTCTTTTCCCAAGATGTTGCCTGACCTAACCCATGTGTTTCTGTTTCAGGTCCCCAGGATCTACTGGGATCTCTCAACAAGGCGTGTCCTTCTCATGGAGTTTATGGAAGGGGGACAAGTGAATGACAGGGCCTATATGGAGAGGAATGGCATCAATGTCAATGAGGTAGTTTCTCAGCCATCTCTGAATTTAGTGTAAAACTGATTTTGACCTTGATGCAGAATGGAGGCTGACAGGACAGGATGGGACAGGGTAGAAGAATAAGCACACACAGAGCAGTCAGTCTGAGAGATCTCTGTTCTTCTGCTCTTTGGAAAAGTAGATAATTCCTTTTGAGGAACACTCTCCTGTAGGCTGTAGAGCTAGGGAGATCTTCAGAGAGACATAGTGAAAGATGACCATGCTCTTACATTAAAGACACCCATGGTTTGTTCCAAGATGGAAGTTCCTGTTACCCTAAAGGAACAACTTCAGTTTCTGATTATTTTTATCTCATGGACTTAGCCATTAAGAGAGCCTTGAAAAGTTCTGTCTGTAGCAAAACATGGTCAGCTCCATTCATCTGGACAAGTCAGCTGGTCCAAAGTGAGAGAGTTGTTTCTTTGAGAGAGTTTATCCTATACTTCTGCTATAGGCAGAGGTGAAATCTAGCCCACACACTCAGATAGAAGAGTGAATATTCCTCAAGTCTCGAGACAGTCGCAAGCCCCTTGAGAAGGGCTTGTTTTGATGGATTAATAGAAGGGCTCTTGAGCAATATGTACATTTAGAGAGAAACGGCTAATTTCAGTTTTTCTAACTTGCAGAGGCTTTTGCTTGTGATAGGAGCAATATAGAGTGAAAATATCTGCTAAATTTTTTGTTTATCCGTGCCTTTGGGAAGGTTGTTTCATGATGACTTGGCACAATACATTCCATGCAGCAGTGAAGTCCCATACTTTCCTGAGTCTGAGCTGGTCTCTAAATAATAGCTAAGAAGAAATTTTTGAAAAGTTGTCTGTCGGCTTCTTCTACTGCAATGTATAAGTTTCAGAGAATTGCAGACATCTGACAGATAGGGGATGCTACTAAGCTCAGTTGTAGGACTGAATTTTCTTCCTTTTCTCTCCCCACTGTCTGAAGTTGAAGATTAACTTTGACTGATTGCCAACAAAGCAATGTAGAAAGGAGGAAATACTGAGCCTGTCAGAATCATATGATGGGAAAGGAGGTCTGTTATTATGGCCGCAGTAAGATGAGGTAGGGGCAGTGCACACCCCAAACTTCTCCTGCGGCAAGGTGCAGCAGATGGGGAGAAATATTGCCTAGGTTAATTATTGGCTGCTGCTGTTGTTGCCCTGGGTAAAGGACTGCACGGCATGGTGGGGAGATGGGCAAAAGGCGGCAGACAATGAAAGGAGCGTGAGGAGGGGTGGCAACCCATGTTTCAAAACTGTGACCTGGCTTATAATATGACAGCAATCTTGGCTTTCAAGAGATGCATTAGCTCCCTACACATCCCCCAAATATATTTATTTTATCAATCCCTCTATCATTTTCCTCCATTTTGTTTTATGGTGTGGAGGAAGAACAGTCTTCACAGAGCAGGGTTTCTTTTTTGTGACAATGCAGCCTTGAAAAGCAAGCTGAGCCTCTCTCCTCTAAATGGAAAGGATCCCTGAGGTGAAAGCTCCCTTCAAACCAGGTTACTGACATTTACTTAATACCGTCTGTAGCAGGATTATCATTAAAGCTGCCCAAAAGCACATTAATCTCTCTGGATCCGTCCAAGTGCTGGATTGTAATGGCATTTAATCAGAGAAGGCTTTGATTTCTAAAGACAAGTGCAAACATTGAAATATCTGCCTGTGGAACAGTTACTTATTCATGTACAAGTGTACTTGTACACTGTAGTGTAGTTGAGGAGGAACATGCAGCTAGGATATTGTCAGTGAAAGGGAAATCTGGAGAGGGGAGTTACCAAGAATGAGCTAGCAGGAATTTTAAGGGAAGACTAGAACATGGCAGAGCTAAGAAGGGGGGCAGCTGGAAACTGGGCTTTTCCTCTATTAAAACACAGTAATGCTTGCAGTCTTAGTTGGGAAGGTATATTTGGAAGAAGTGGGTAGAACAGGGAAGAGAGAAAAATTAGACTGTGGGGCTCTCAAGGGGTTTGTAGCATAGTATATACAGGAGGAAAGGAAGGGCAGTGAGACTGCTTAGAGCATGGATTTTTAAAGATCCCAAATGACACAAATGTTCCTTTTGCATCTCTTCTGATTGTACCTGATTAATTTAGAGAGATCTTATTTGTATACAAATCTTAACATTGTCTTTGGTCTGCCACATGGATTCTCCATTCCTTCTTTGTGAGTTCTCTGCCTGTCTCTGCAGAGACTGCTGTATCAGCAGGCTCTAGGACCTGTGGAGCTTCCAGATGTGCTCATGGCATGTGCTGTATTGCCTCAAACTAACCAGCCAGGTCAGGTAGCCAAGAGTCCCTATGATCAGCCTGATTTGGATTTGAGTCAAGGAAAAGAAACAATGCCCTGTACTTCAGCTCACCAAGAGCCTGGTCATGAGGCATGGTTGATTCAGAAGTCAGAAAAGTGTTTTGTCCAGCTGAGAACTGAAAGCAAACAACTAAGGTACTTAAGATGAGCTACTGTGTGCAATTATTGCCATCTGTTACTCCATCCTACTATGGCTTTTTACTTCTTTCTGTTACTAAATGGGTTCTACACTGAAACTGTATCTCTTAGCTTGATAAAGAGCCCAGTACCTTCCTGTAGCTGACAGCTTTGCAACTTGAAATACACTTTCAATGTGGCATTTACCCTTCTGCCAAGAGTCAGGAGCTGTAGCTGTGTAGCTGCTAAAATTTAAGTGGGATTTCCCAGGGTGGGATCCTTTTGTTAGCAGTGGAAACCTGTCATGTCTCAAGTATTTGCGCTGATAACACTCAAGTGTTAGATGAAGCTGAGCGTGGAGAAGAACACTGTTTCTGGGGAAGATGGCTATTCTTGCTCTCTGCACTTACTGAGTTAGTCTGGGGAGAAGTTCATTTGCGATTGTCCTACGTTTCATCTTGTCTGAAGCTTAGTGAAATTCAGAAGGCACTGATAAGTAAAAGTAGTGACCTCCAGTATTTTCAGCTTTTGAACTGGGCACAGACACCTGATAAAAGAGTTAAATTAGACACTGACCTGTTTCTTACTGAAAGTTGGTATTGAGCATCAATGTCAATCAATTGCTTAAGTCTCAACAAGATGCTTTACATTAAATCAAGGAAATGCAACTGCGTTTAAAGCCAAGGGAAATGATCCCCATGGTCATTTTGTGTCTGACAGAGATGCAAGAAACAAAAAAAAAATAATAACTAGTCTTCTTTAGCTGTGTCCTTTTGAGAATCTGTGCAAACTTGATGAGTTAGTCCCTCAGTTCCTTGGGTGGATGAGTCAGAACATTTCTCTCCACTTACATGCCATGGAAGATGGAGCATTGAGCATGAAAATAATTTCCTGAGTTCCCAACAGAGAGTACAGGGCATACTAGGAGTGCACTCCAGGAGTCCTAAAAACTATTCCTGTATCTTAATGACATCAGGTGTGTTCAGACATCATATTGCTGTGATGCTAGATCACTGCATAGTAATAGTACTGCCTAACAGAGCACTTTTGAGCCTCACGACTGGATGATAGAGGACAGAGTGTGAAATAAGATCTCTTGTGTGACCACCCTCTTACTGTGGATAAGAGCTATTTCAGAGCAGAGGCAGAGAAGATTTCAAATTGTGGCTATTCTCTGCCCACACCCTTTGCTAATTTGACACCAGTTTAATTGGGCAGAATTGCCCTAGCAGGATTAAGCAAAACCTTAGACGATGGCTGTAATAACAACAATGAAAGCAAGCAAAAACCCAATACAGTCTTCAATCCAATTAACCTTCGATTAAGGTTCCAAAATCAATGCTATTATTTTGGCCGGAGGAGGTAATATTGAGCCCTGAGAAATGAGCTGCACAACGACCTTTACTTTTAATGAGATCAATAGAAGTTAGTGTCGCCATCTCTTAAAATAATTGGCAAATATTACAGCCAAATTAAGGCTAGAGACTAGTATCTGCTTCTGATCTAAAGAGACAGTCACAGATGGAGGTGGGATGGGAAGGGATGATGCCCTATCAGGCAGTTTCATCTAGGACTTATCAGGGGCAAGCAGTGATGTCATCTCTACAGGACCATGACACAGTATTTTTTTCTGTGCTTTTCTTCTTCATGTCAGTTAGAGGCATGGAGCCAGAACCATTCCAGCTTGTTCACAAGTCCAGGAAAGTATCAGTGACTTTCCCCAGAAAACCCAGGCTGGTTTGTTACATTGCACTATATCATGCTACCCATGAGCACGATGTATGTGCTTTTTACTGTAGGAACACTCACAAGCTCAAATTTGCATACATTTTTTCTTTTCTGAGAGGTTTTTTGCTAACTCTTGTGTATTGGTATTTTTAAAGATACTCAGTTGTGATGAACTTTCTAGAGTTTTGTTACTGTCACGTTGCTTTGTCAGCAGGTGTGTTGATTAGCTGCGTACAAGGGCAAGGGCGGCAGGTTGTCTAGGTTTTCAAAACTGATGGCAGCAACATATTGTGTCCGGGTACATACATATACAAGAAGAAATATATCACTGCTAGTACCTGCACTACAGCTTGGGATCCTCCAAGTTAGGTGACAGAAATGCAGTTAGGTGTACTTGTTAAAATATTTGGTACACTGCACATGACTCCATTAACTAGAAAACATGGGGATTAGTAGGGAAATTGCAAAGTAGGTGAGAAACTCATAGAGGTAATGGTCGAGAGAGGTTACCACAGTGGAGTTTTGTGAATTTGTTTTTCAAATAGATTTCATTTAACAAACTGATGATGACCTCAACACAAACACAACTGTATCAAGGAGATTGTTGATGACACCAAGCTGAGAGGTCTGACATTGTAGAGGAGGACTGGAGTAGCAATAGCACTTGTTGGCCTTGAGAACTAAAGTGGTAAGCATCCTGTAGAAAATGGGGCATATTTCTGCTGTTTATTATGCTGTTTCATATCTGACTGGTGGACACATTGGGGTAGTAAATACTGGAGAGGAACAGAACTAGTTAAACTCTAGGATTGTGCTAGTTAAGGAAATTATTTATGAACATATTAAAGTTAGGCTGGGGTTTATGGGAAACATTCTGATCACCTAAAAGTAAATTTTTGAAACAGCTGCCAAAGTTATACTTTGTCTAAAATATTTCTGGTGAACTTGACCAGTTTATAGAAGTATTGTGTGATGCTGTACAGTAACAACCCTTAATGTTTGCACTGCGTTCTTATTTTCTTCTGTATTTGTTTGTAACTCACATACGATAGTTTGTGACATGTAACATCCTTGCCAGACTGAGTAGGTAAAGGGCACTTCATGCGCTTAGATTGGTGAAGAGTTACTCCCAAGTCTGGCTGTTTTACTTGTGTCTGTCACTCCATTGTGTCAGCAATCTGTTTATTTCTCAAGTCTGTTTTTTTCCAAAATGAAAACATTGGGCTGAGAATGTGAGGTTTGCCTGACATGGTGTCGTGGTCATGTCACATAATTTGGCAATGGCAGATTGGTATTTGCATTGATTGGTAAGGCCACAGGCTCACTTGGTGACTGTAGTCATATCATGTTCTGCTACAGCACAGACAGGGAAATATAACTTCTTTTAGGCACTAACACACCTTCTGGCAATAGGCAGGGACATGTCTCTGGCCAGACCCAGACTCTGATGTCATCCTGATATATCAAGCTAAGCTCTGCCTGCTGATCAGTGTAGGTTTTGTTCTTATATGTTACCCTAAATTATGCCATTCATGATTACACCCGCTTTTGCCTGGTTTTATTTCTTGTAGTACATACAGAACTACAGGTGCTTCTACTTCTTTGCTATTCAAACCTCCTAACTGGTAGACTTTCCTCCTCTGCCATTCTTTAGCCAACTTTGGGGTCTTCAGCTCTTTTAATTTTTTTTTTCCCCAGTAAATGCCTCCTGCATCCTGCTCATTTATTTGCTTTCTCTGAACTCCCTCTGTGTAGTCTGCACCTCTTGAGTTAATGAGGTGTCTAGAAGTGAATGCAGAATTCCAAGACTGATTATTTTTTTTACAGTATGCACCAGAACAATGCTGAGGGATACCGGTAATGACAAAGACCTTGTTTTGTTGGATGATAAACAGAGAAAGGACTGATGACCTCTCTGTGTCATAACAAAAAGCCTTTATGTTAACCATGGTTTTTGCATCTGTAAATCATTGCAACCTTTTTTCCTAATTTGTGATGCACCTTCACCCTGAGGTCTTACATAGCCTAAATGCATGCTGAATTCCTCCCTTCTCCTGAGCAGAGGTTTTCATAAGTCTGTTTTCTCATTTCACTTAGCTGTATTCTTCCAGAGTGAATTCTGTAGATATTATTTATCCAGTGGCCTTCTCAATAAGGAATAAGGGCCTGAAGTGACAAGGCACAGTACAGAAGAATTAATGTATATAAGGGTTTCATGTTTTTTTCCTAAACTTTTTCTCAAGAAATCTGAACTGCCTTTGTCTGAATTACAATGATAGGTTGCTAGTCACATACTACACTTTAAGACCTAGAGTGTAAAGCTTCCTATTTTGTTTAGAATTTGACAGTATTGTTGCTTTCTATCTTAATTTATTTTGTATCCTATTTTAGAGGTATGACAACAGACAAAATTATGTGAAAATACTTTAGTGTGCATCACAGCTCCATGGTAAATTTTTTCCAAAAGTGAAGACTGTTTATATGCTTGCACCATAAATCCCTGTAACATATCTTCTGTATGCTAATGAAGTAGTACATAATACATTCATATGTCTTAAAAAAGTCATAAAGTTTAGTTGAAGATACTGGAGATGCTCAAGGTTGCATGTTGGGGAATAGGTAAATATAAGTAAAGCAGGGAAGAGAGAGAGATGATGGGGATCTTGCAGTGAACAAATCTTCTACCAATGACCCAACCTGTGAGTCTGAACAGGGCTCGTTTTCATGGGAGGGTGGGAAGATGGAACTCAGGCTGCTTTTGTGTTGCATTACAGGTTGCAAGAGGCTATGACCATAGGTCTATTTAGTCACCTTTCTGCTGATAGTGGCTTAGGATCGGGGACCTTCTCTGCATCTGGAGCTTGCAGCCATATCATAAGATGCTGTTAATGAGAGTGGCATGGATAACCTGGTGAGAGGCGTTTTTGTAGGATCCTAGGATATTTGGGTTTGGAAAGGAACCTCAGGAGGGCTTTCATCAAATCTCCTTCTAAGGCAGGGTCAGTTATGAGGTCAGACCAGCATTGCACAACCTCTTCAGCTATGACCAATCAATAGGTTTGTAGAACTACCAACCCTTGTCTGGACTTGTCCTCAGCAGGAATGAGGCATCATGTTGGGCCCCAGATTGTCCCCAAGTCCTCATCTTCAATAATTCTGTGCTTTTCCATGCCCTTGGAGGACAAACAGCTGTGACAGTGAGGGCCGAGTGTGGTTAGCCTGGCGTGTGCACAGTGAGTCCCTGGTCCCTGGGAGGCTTTGTGAGTGAATGCTGTGATGGGCTTAAAACAGACTATTTGGCACATCCTTGGGCTGTTAATAGAGGCTACTCAGCTCTTATATGAGATCACAGCACCTGGTACTTTGGTTCTGTCTAATTTTAGAGCTTGCCGATCAAGGAGACTTGTAAGGGTCACTTCATGGCTCTGGTGATCTCTGCTGGTGATTCAGAAGGGAAACATCACTCCCCTCAGTCAGTACTTAAAATAACACCTGCATGGCGTTAGGGAAGCTGCACTACAGGAGATCACAGGGCTGTGCTGTTCCGTCCGTGTCGGTGATTCATCATGGGGCGAGCCAGCATTCATGTGATTCAGCAGTGGTTCCAGGTTCCACTTGAGGGAGAGGATTGTTTCACCTGATTCTACTGCTGTCTCTGTAGTTGTGCTGCAGGGAAGGTTCTTGTTCTTTCTCTTCATTTGTAGTTACTTGGCCACTATTCATAGTGAATACTCTTCTCAGAGGTGGCTATATTTCAGAGATGGGTAAAGGAAGCCCTTTCTTGTCTGTCTGGTTTTCTGCAGGATGAGCTGTCATTACTATCCCTGTTACCTCTTCTACCACCTCTGCTTATGGGGACAGCTGTCAGTTTGCTGCTTACAGAGTGTGTCTGGAGATATGCTTGGAATAGTTTAGAATGGCTGTCTTTTAATTGCTTGTACAGCATTCTGCTGTGGAGCACTGTGCCTCTCTGCAATGGCAGGGAGGGCTGGTGGAATGGCAGGGCAAGGCTGCTGTGTTGTTGCATGGCAGGGGGTTGATCCCATGCCCTGGGGATGTTTGCTTTCTCCTGGGAGGTTTCTAACATTAATAACACCTCTTGGTGATAAGGAGCAGTATTATGGAGGGACACAGCAGTGACAGGATGTTTTAAACAGCTTTTCCGTGCTTCTTCATCTTCACAGACATTGAACAGATTAGCATGGGTGTGAGGAAAGAAAGAGGGAAAGTGGCAGACAGTGTGATGGAGGGAGGGGAGAGGGAGCACATGTTCATTCTGGTGGGCAGATGGACTGGCTACGTCTCTCCCCACCCCTTCTCCACCATGTCCTGTTGCCATCCATGGATGGAAACCTGAGTCTTCTTCCAAGCAGTCTCACCCAACCCAGAAGCAATTTCCATGCCTTCCCTGTGAATGCATGTCCACCACTATCTGCTTTCCCTCCTCATTACCAGAAACCCCATTCCTACCCACAGGTACTGTCTCTTTTTTATGCCAGACAAGTGTCTTTAAACATCATGTGATCCCACAGCCACCTTCATGGTGATCCTTGCATGGATCCTTTCCTGAATGCCCTGGACCACCCTGCTACTGGTAGATGTCAGCAGCCACCCTGTGCCTCCATCAGTGTGAGGAGCTGCAGCAGCTCTGCATGGGAATATCAGCGTGTACAGACCCTTGCTTTCTGGGTTGTCACACAGAGGCTGCCTCCTCTCCCCGGCAGGCACCCTACTGTGGGTGGCAGTGTGTGACCATCTCTTGTCTCCTCGCAGATCTCTCGCAACCTGGGAAAGCTCTACAGTGAAATGATTTTTGTGAATGGCTTTGTGCATTGTGACCCACACCCAGGCAATGTGCTGGTGAAGAAGTGCCCAGCCTCTGGCAAGGCCCACATTATCCTCCTGGATCATGGGCTCTACCAGGTAAGTAGGTATGAGGGGCTTCCAGGGCCTTGTGAAGCTGCCTTTGGGCACCAGGCTGCAGTCTTGCCCCTCTAAGCACATATGAATACATTTTTCGTATTACTTCCATAGCCCTCCAATGATATATTTTGACTCTGAAGTGGAGGATGGGGCACAGGTGAGGGGTGCAAGACTTTTCCCCTGTTTCTTGTCCTCTATGGGCTTATGGGGACCATGTTTCCCTTCCCAGGTGCTGAGTGAGTCATTCCGCATGGACTACTGCCGGCTTTGGCAGGCCCTCATCAAGGCTGATATGAAGAGGGTGCAGAAGTACAGCCGGCGACTTGGGGCAGGGGATTTGTATCCTCTCTTTGCCTGCATGCTGACTGCCAGATCTTGGGAATCTGTCAACAGGGGCATTGACCAGTCACCAGTCTCTGCCAGTGAGGTAGGTCTTGTGTGTCCTTCCCTAATGTGTGCCCTTGCTTCTCCTCAGTACCTTTCTTTGTTGAAATCACTTGCGCCACTGATAGTACAGCAGTGCTGGGCAACCCCTGGCAGCTCTGTAGCAATTTCTGCATTGATACCTGAGCTAGAAAAAGCCCGTACTCCTTCTGCAATGTGTTTTATAGTGGCTGAATTTAATTTCCCAGATTCACTTGTCATGGGCTGCTTAAATTTTGTATAATATTTTAATACCTAAGTGTTCACTCTTTCTGGCTGGGGAAACATTTGTAGATTGTCCTTTTCTTAAAAAAATGTTGAATGCAGCTGTGCAGGAAACCATCAAGGAGGCTAGGATAAGGTACAGGAGACATAAAGGTTTAGTGGGAAGACATGAGAAGAATAATGCATTATCACTATTCATATAAATGACTATCAGCACTGATATAAACTCCTAAAAACTTCTGGAAATTACCTTCCAATCAAAAACCCTATTAACTTGGAGTCAAGGTTGCTTAGCTGCAGATCCTGTCATCTCAATCACTACAAATCTGGGAAACTGCTGCTTACATTTTCCACCCTTTCATACACACACGTTCTGGGATCCTTCTCATGCCTCCTCGCACACCTGACATACACAATACCTCACCTTAAGAATACTAGCAGCCCTGCCAACTGTGCTGTTTCTAGAGAAGAACATAAAGTGATGTAATTCAGCCAATGGACAAGTGTCTGTAAGTAGAAGTGTGTTGTATCCTATGGTTTGCTTTTATCTACACACATCTGTAGTAGAGAGGATGAAATTCATTTAAGGAGTGTTATAATATTGCCCTATGAAATTCTCATCTAAAAGTTTCTTCATCTTGATGGATGTGTCAGAATTTGCTGTACTGGCTTGCCATTATCCATAGCAATGAGTAGGTCATTGGGTAATGGACCCCCTCCCAATTATCTGAGTTAATTTTCTGCACATCAGAAATAATATAATGACTATCTAACAGTCATTAGAAGTCTGTGCTTCATCTGGTGAGTTCTGGAGCTGGTAGCTCCAGAAAAAAATTCAGAGCTGCCAAAGCAAGTTGGCACAGTGCTGACTCCAATACTACAAGGCCAGTGTTAAATCTGAGTTAGTGAGCAATGTTTATTCCCAACTCACTTGTGAAGGTTATGCCAGAGGTGTAGCTGCAGCTGCATAGTACTCTGTGTGTGCTAATGAACTTTGTCATCGAGTTGAATTGCGTGTATGGAACCAGCTCTGTTGTCTTTGCCTACATGACACAATTAATGCTGAAACTAGATAATCCTGCAGCAGATAATGGGGAGCTGAGCAGATTTGCAGTGGCATTAGGAAATGAGATGCTGCTTGCCCTTACTTTAGAGGTGAATTTGAAAGATTTTATCAGCAAAAGCTGAGCGCTGTGTAGGCAGGTACCATCAATGCAGAGCTCCAGAGAGTGTGCCTGAGGATGTATCAACATGACAGTAGCCTGTGAGACAAGGAAGTAACCTTCCTGAAACAAAATCTTATCTGTAGTGTTGTACTCAGTCTGGGATGCAGCATCTTGAGAAAGGTTTGATGAAACTGGAGCAAGTCCAATAGGAATCTGCAAGGACTAGTGGCCAAACAGATGTAGCCCATGAGGTAAGTCTGAGCAAGTTAGGTCAGAAAAAAATCTAGAAAAGGCAGGTCAGAAAGGGTTGTAGAAGTGATTTTTTGGTTTTTTTGAAGAGTGCTGCAAGCAGGACAAGTGCAATGAATTTAAACATGGGTTTAAATTCAGCTAAACATGAGAAAAGCCAGATCTAGTGGCAAAGCAGTGAAATGCCACTGCAGATGGTCTGGGGAGGTTTTGATTCGTGTTACTGGAGAGTTTTAGGTGCAGTCTGGGAAAATGTAGGAGGATTGCCATAGGTATAGTTGTTCCTGCCTTAAGCCATCCAGGGCCAGGCATCTGATCGCTCAGCGTGGCTGCTAGCCTCATCTCATCTGATTTTATGATGGCTTTTGCTGCATCCTGCAGCAGCCTCAGCAGCTGCAGCCAAGGGGCTTTTCTCAGGTCCTGTGGCATAGCTTATTTCTTCCTCTGCACACTTGACAGAAAATGACAGTTCTGATGACAGATCATGTGGTTGTTTTGTGATGTGGACAAGCAGCTGGAGCTAAAAATAAAAAGAAAAGAAATAGAAAAGAAAACCTATGTCTGGAAAATAATATAGGCAACGATGCTGGCTGGGAAAAGGGATAAGAGATAATCAGGGAGCAATTTTCTGCCAACATCTAATGAAACAAAACAACATTTAGGAGTGCTAAGCATCTTCTTGCTGAAGCCTTGTGTATCTGGTCAGTGATGGAGGCAGGAGGACACAAGGATTTGTTTGTCAGCAGCAAAGCAACATGGTGTTGTGTGAGCTGTGTACATCTCTGACCATCATGACCTGCACACCAGTTTGTGCAGGTCTGTTCCTTTATAATAAGTTTGAAGTTCATAAAGAGTGAGTGTGAGATCTCACGTCACGAAATATAGGCCATCCTTCGTTCAGAAGAGAGAAGGCTTAAGAGCTGTCATTTCCCACAAAGAAGCCTCCTTACTGTAAGAAGTTATTTACTGCCCCCTTGCATGTGTTCTCCTGGATTTTGTAGATTGCAGATATTCCAGGGCCTTGTCTTTGGATTTCATGTCATGGTTCATGTCATGGCCTCTGTAGGAGGGGGTAGGGGCATGGTATGCATATGGGATCAGCTCCCAGCTACACTGTGCTACATTTACTGGGATGGTGAGGGAACTCTCAGATCTAAAAACAGGAATAAGAAGCAGGGCTGACTGTCTTGCATGCTCTGGTGACTTGTATTTGGAGAGGAGCTCAGTTAAGTGGCTCAGACTGTAGCCCCTAAGTTTTCACTGGGTTCTTACAGTAAGCAATGTGTTTGTTTGAATCTGGAGAACTAGAGATAATGAAGGATTGCCTTGGACTTACACTCTTTCCTTAATTATCTGCTATGAGCTGCTGTCATACAGGATATAGATCTAGATCTGACAGATGACAATTTGAGGATTTTTGATCTTTTGGGTTATCATGATGCTTAACTGTGTAATTCTTTCTCACCTTTGCTGAATTGTGTTGAGGACAGAGGACTAAACTAGCATTGGAAACGGCTTCACCAGTATAGCATAGAGCCGTCAGCTGCATGGAGAAACAAAGATCAAGCAGCCTGGTTGTCTTTGCAGCCTCCACCTTCCTCAGCAATTCTACTACCTGCACCTCTGCCGGTTTTGGGGCTGGTGAGGTGAGAAGTCTCTAACGGCAGTAATGACATCTGGTTGCTGCAGGCTGCCTAGGACCAAGAACCAAGGTAGCAGTGTCTGTTCTCCTGAGAGGCTATTAATCCTGCCAGTGAGGGGATAGGTCCTTATCTCACCGAGGGGAAAATGGGATCTGGCAAGAGTGATCTGTGCGGTGAGTGCTGTGCCCAGTGTCTGCAGGAAAGAAGGACAGAGCTCTTAGGTTCTGTCCTAGTGTCATGGTCTGTTAAAACACTGTCTCTTCCTGGCAAATCTCAGCTGCATCTGGACCCAGATTTCCCATGTACTCTCACCTTCTCTCTCCTTTCTCCCTGACATGACCTGACTGGCCACAGGACATGGAGATCCGGTCCAACGCTGCCACTTACTTGCCCCAGATCACCCAGCTCCTCAACAACGTTCCCCGCCAGATGCTGCTTCTGCTGAAGACCAATGACTTGTTAAGGGGGATTGAGTCAGCCCTGCACACACGGGCCAGTGCCAGCTCCTTCCTCAATATGTCTCGCTGCTGCATCAGAGCTGTTTCCACGTGAGTCTCTTATCCAGACATCAGAGGCCAGACAGGGAGCAGCAGGAGCTGACTATCCCTGTGGTCTGGGAGATGAGGGGAGATGAGGTACAGCAGGCTTGTCAGGATCCAGTCCCACTGCAGCTATGCAAGGCAAGCAGGACAGACCCTGAGATGAAGGTCAGATCCAATCAAAAGTCCACATGATTAGGCAACATCCTGGTGATGGGGCAGGTCTAAGAACAAATGAGAAAGTCAGTCTAGATTATGTCTGGTGGTTGTCAAGCAGGTCCATGGTGACAAGACAGGGCTGAGATCAAGCAAAGAGGTCCATGTGGAGGTCTAGCTCATGGGGCTTCACAGCAGGACATGAGCTGGGGACCATTACTCTTCCAGTGTAGCTCAGGCAGGAACTGAAGGTGCACATCTGAGATTAACTGAGGTTTCTGGGCCTATGAGCAGAGGGTTGGGGGTGGTTCCAGGCTAGTCAGGGCCATTAAGACTTATTAGGGCCCCACTCAGGGGGGCTGATAAGGCTCTGACTTAACCTCTTGACCTATTACTGTTAGCTGTGGATCTCTTCCCCACATTGTGGTCCTGCCCCTGCTCAGCTACATGTCTCAGCTGTTGTCTGTGCTTTTCTTACATCCATCAGCCTTTCCAGAGGACAAACCTGTCGCCCTGGGGCTGGGGACAGGGATAGAGTTGGAGACCTTAGGTTAAGGGTTTAGGATTTGTCCCCCAGAGGAGGGGAAGGGGCTTCTCTCCCATTATAGGCCTTACCACTGGGCAGTATTTGTGAGTAGCATAGATCTGAAAGTTCACTGCAGCTTGATTGAGGGAATTGGGCTGACTGAAGATCAGGCTGATGTTTAAAAGCCAGGAACAGGAGTTGTGCAAGTGCAAGTTGTGCAAGATTGCCTTCTCTGCATCTTAGGAATCAATGCACTTCTTCCTCAGATTCCTCCTCCTTGCAGATAAAATAACAGTTATTTCTTGGGCTGATGAGGGACCTATGAATCCCAGTTAGCCTCTGCTAAAGAAAGGTGGAGAAATACTTTTCCTGGAATCTGTGTGTCAGGATTGCTGGACTCTTACAAGTGCGCTACCAGGAAAAGCAATAGTAGTGTGCACCTGTCCCTGTGAACTGAGGTGAAGCTGGGCATAGAAGCAGAGGAATGCCATAACCCAGGATCACTACGTAGAGTGGTAAGAGAACTGAACTCTCAAGTGAGCAGGCTGTCTCTTCTGCCAGATTCATTCCAAAAAAGGCAGTCCCCAGCTCCTCAGTAGCACTGCTTAGAGAAAATCCCTGCTTCCTGAGGATTCTCCATATGGGGGATAGCGCCCACCCCTGGGGAGGGTCAGCTGTGTGGAAGATGTAGGACAGGCCTCTTTCTTCCTGGGCTGTTTCCTGCTGGATCTAATGCAGCTGCTTCTCTCATTCTAGGTACCAGAGGAGCAAGAGTCACTCGCTTTACAGGAGGGCCCAGATCTCATTCACAGAAGCCCTAAGCCTGTGGCAGATCAACTTATATGAACTCTTCCTGTGGCTGAAGGGGTCCCAGCTGGGGAACTGGGTCACTGCTCTCCTGAGACGGATGCACCATTTAATGTACTGACATGAACTGGTGGGAGAGGCCTGGGTGCTCCCTCCCTCCCTTCTGTTCTCCATGGCACATCTGCCTTTTTGACTATTTCTGTCTATTTTTGGGTCTTACTCCACATTACACACTGCACTGTCCTTTTCTTTTACAGCATTAGCTTCCCCTGTGGCACAGAGAGGTTGAGTTGGTACCAGAGCCCTACTGTTTTGTGGTTTAGGTAAAGTAAGTGCATGATACTTGTGGCAGGAAGGACAGAAAAGAATACCTTCTTTCCTCATTTGTGCAGGTTAAGTTCCACTCAGATTCTAGTGGGACTGTGCTGGAAGCAAATGCCTCTTTGACTCTTTCTTAAACAATCTTAAAGAATTTAAGAGAATCCCAGCCCTACTAGAATGCCCCAAAATATTTTTCAGACCCTCAGAGAGGGGTGGTAAGTCCCTTTAAAATACAATAGGGTTTATATTAATTTATGCAATCTCTTTAGTCTGATTTCTGTTTAGGTGTGCGGAAGGTTTCTCAGAGGAATGAGACCTTATGGAAAGCTGTCACTAGGGTTTTTTCTTCCAGCACCAGGGAAAGAGGACACAAATGGTGAGAGTGGTGGACTGGGAGTCTGACTTCCTAAGATGCATCTCCAGTCCTGTCAGCAAGTGCCTCTGTTTTTGGACTTCTCCTGGCCTGTTTCCTTGCAGGTGAAATGGGGGAAGGGGACAGTGATCTTGCCTCTCTTCTGAAATTCAGGAAAGACAGTAAGAAGGACAACTCAGGGCTCTGAAACTGCCGGGAATGTATGTGTACTGTACAAAACTATCACACAACAAAATAAATGTGTTGTATCAAAGACCTTTGGGGGAGGGATGCTTGGCTGTGCACTAGAGTTATGTTTGAGCCTCTAACCTTAGTCCTGTTTCCATTTCTCCACAAGGGAGTGATGCCAGGCAGTGCTGGTAATTCCTTGTAAGCAAAATGTCCACTTGGTCTTTTCTATATCCAAGAAGTTTGTACCACATCTGAGTCCTCTAGTACTGCATCAAATGTATGTTGGGATGGAATGGAGGAGCAGGCATCTTTCTGCTGGGAGGATATCTCATACCCTTCTGCCCAGATCCACACTGAGCCTGCCTCCTCCCTGCCTGTGGGAGTGCGCTACAGCACATCTGTGAGATGTCACCATCCCCATGCCACAGTGAACATTTCACCTTGTCACTGCCTGTGATGTTTTACTACTCCAGCCTCAGACAAAAACCTGCCATTGCTCAGTGGTGCAAGTGACAGATCTGATGGCTTTGACTCTGTAGTTGTGGGACAGCTACCAGAAAGCCTCACCTAGACGCCTGCTTGTGTGAGACGTATCTGAGATACTGGGAGACATCTCTGTTGCTTGTAAGAATACCTTTATCCAGGAAAGGTGGATGGAGGTGACTGCTCACATAATCTCAGCTTTCCTCATAAACTATCTTGGTGAAAGGGGACATGAAGGACAGGATGGGAATGTCCGTCTACTGTCAGAAAGCTTGCTAAACTGAGAATTACTCAGGAACCAAACTGTGCCTGAGGGCAAGCCACAAGAAGGCCATTCCCTCTCCCAGTTTCCATACAACTTCCCAATTTGCACAGGTGCAAGACCCCACCTTGAAGTGAGTTCAATTTCTTGGGAAGGGAAGCAGGGGACAGAGTGCAGGTTAAGTGTGTGTGAGTCCCTGGTGAATCAGTCATCTTTCTGGCTGTGTGGGAAGGGGAAGGAATGTAATCCAGAAAAGGTACCTGGTTACTGGTGGGCTTGGGCATGATGGGTTAGGGACTGCAGATGTGCATACAGTGACTGTGTACACGCACAAGCATGTAGGCAGAACTGGCTGGCTCAGGACTGCCAAGAAGTGGTAAGCCTAACGTCCTTGCAAAGCTTGTCCGCAACCCATGCAATGACAGGTTAGAGATTCCCTTGACTTCTGGGTCATATGATGGCATCAGGGACTGGAGTGGTGATAATTGCAGGATGAGACTCCTGAGTCAACAAAGAGTCACTGAAGCCCTGGAATACTGGTGCTGCATCCTGTACATGACTAATCATTGCTCATGTGAAAAGTCTGACTGAATTAGTGCCTTGCTCAGGCTCTTAGAGCTGGTAGGCTGGCCAGCATGGGTGGGCCTGATTTGTTCTCATTACAGGTAGAGCTCCTCTCAGAAAGCTGGACTGCTGTGCCTTGTTAAAGTCCAAGAGACCCTCTAGTAATGGCCACCAACTGCGTATCCTCATCTTGTAGATGCCTGTGCAAATGCCTTTGCCTGTTCATGGCAGGATACACTGACCATAGCACCGTTTGTGTTTCTCATCTGTAAGTGAAAGCTTATCCTACATTTAGGCCTTCATTTCTAGAGGATTCCGTGTTGTGGAGAGGCTCCCTGTAGCTGTCATTTGCATTGGCTGTTAAGCTCACAGCGTGCTCTCAGCCATGCATGTTCTTTCACTCCTTCAAAATCTTACCACATGACTGCTAGTTCTGCTACCTGAGGACGGTCCTGACTCTAAAAGTTGTAGGGAACCAGCAGCCCCTCGGACTGGTTTCTGGCAGTGTGCAGCAGGCAGAGAACAGGGAATATTTGGCAGAGCTTTGTCTATTGTCATTAGTCTCTGCTGGGAGGCTGTGTGTTGCAGTGTTAGCGGAGGGACTCCTCCATCCATTGTGCTCAGCTTTCACCCTTCCCACAGTCAATCGATGAAAGTTTGTCTTAAGAAAGAAGAAGCAAACACATGGACTTTGACCTTGTAACATTCCTGCCTTGTCTTTTTGCTGAAAGCACTCAAAGGTGAATGTGTTAACACAGTTTTGAAAAGACACTTCCTCATCCCAATTTGCAGTTGTCAAACATGGGTAGCCTGGATCAGGTCTGTGCATTTGGCCTCTCTTTCCCACCTGCATTTAATGGTGTTTTCACCACCAGCAAACACAGCTTCTGCTGCTTGGCTTGCAGGCAGCACATGGGCTGCTGTCTGCCCAGCTTTAGCTGTGAGCAAACTAAAGTTTGGTTCAGACACTAAATACTGGCCCTGGAGCCCACCAACTCTTTCTCAGGACTAATATGGGGGTTAGAGCTGTTGGCCAGAGGTGCAAAACTGATGGGCATCTTTCAGCTCCTGTAATAAACATGAAGTACTTTGTTGTAGCCTTATGGCATCACCAATCCTAATGCTCTCAGATGTGTTGGGAAACCAGTGGACATTTCATCTAGCATTTATATGTGCCATCATTATATCCACTGGAGGTGGAAAATGGGGCAGTCAGGGAAAATGCAGTTGCTGTGCAAAACTTCAAGAATCTCAGGTATGAAGTGGACTTGCTTTTGCACATGCAGCTGAAAAAAAGCCAGTCTGAACACCCTAGCCTTTGCCTAGCCCATCTAGTGAACACTATTGATGACAAATGGGTGGCATTTAGAGTCGCAGATCAAGGCTGCATGATGCTGTCTGCCATCTTGCCAGAGCACACAAACCTCATGCAGTTGCAGTGTAGAAGCTTCAGAATGAATCACACACTGCTTCCCACAGCATATATCTTATGAGCTGTGACATGTGTGCATCTTGTGCCATTCCACTGCATCACTTGGCAGGGCTCTTCCCCCACCTCCACTGTGCATCCCTGTGTCACCCTGTACTATTTCCTCTGCCCCCACACCCTGTGTCCAAAGGGGTATGGGCAGCCTGCTGGGTCCTGGAGCATGCAAGAAGCCGTCACACACAGCGGGCTGGGTCACAATGCCCAGCATTCAGATAGGAGCAAAAAGAGGGATGCCTGAAGTGATACAGCCCTCAGGACAGTTATTGCCTTATTCCTTTCATCCCCTGATAACTGAATGGCTAGGAAGAGGGGATGGATATTTCTTCCTCCTTGACTCCTCTCTAGAAGCGAGAGGCTGGGGCTGGCTTTTGCCCCTGCAGCCTAAACTCAGTCCATGCCCATCTCACCCAGGGTTTGTGCTTGTCTGGGTGATGGCAAGAAATCTGTATTGCAGCTTTCAAATGGCCCAGAGCAAACAAACAGCACTGAGATAAGAGGGGTGCAGGCTGGGGCCATGCAGTGTGCTAGGTGGGGGAATTTTCTGGTGCTGCTGAGCTGAAAGGTGGGAGGAATACTTCAGAGGATCCCAGTCCTCAGGATAAATCCAGGTCAGGTTGGGGCTGATGATTTTCAAGTAACCTGGATAGACATACCCTAAGGTGAAGTAGGGTGTATGGAGAAGAAGCAGTTGGAGTCTTTTCTTTGCTCATGACTTTCTTCTTGGTGTCCTCTGAAAAGCAGCAGAAGGGCTGCTCTCCTCATCAAAGAGCCATCTCCTGCCTACAGGCTCCAACAAAGGTCTTGTTTGCTGTAGGAATGCAGTATCTCCCAAGGAATTCTGCTTTCCTCTGCTGACCCTGCTTTGGGCTCCTAAGTCACATAACTGCAGCTTTGCACTTCGGGCAAGGCTGCAAGCAGCACTGGGGGCCAGGATCTCCAAAGTTTCCTAGGCGCCACCCTAGGCAGCGAGGTACCAGCAGCTGACATCTCTGAGGGCAAGCTGCTGCCACCACTCCATGTTCACTGCCTCCTGCCAAGTTGTGTGGAGAGAGCCTGCAAGACCCAAAGGCTTTCTGCTCCTTCCCCTTGGCAATCCTCAGTTTTGCTGGTTGGGGAGTGATTGCTGTTCTGCCCCTGTTGATGTGAGAGGACTTGGTCTCAGCTGCTTTGCTGCAGCACGGCAGTAGCCAGTGGCTAGCACAGTGTTGGCACTCCAGCCAGGCAGCAAACTGTTCTTCACAGAGCACTGGGAGGATGCATGTGATTCTGAGTGTTTGTAGCAATTAATTTTTCTAGTGAGTCCTGGGAGTTTGGAGATGGGAGGAGAGGTGAGGAAAGAGAAGGGGAAAGGAAAGGAAAGGAATGGAAAAAGGAAAGGGAAGGGCTGATCCTCTGTCATCTCCACGGAGGTGCCTGCAGGATGTGGATCATCCTCCTTCCTTCAGCATCTGCTCAGGTACTGGCCAGGATTGTAAAAGAGTTGGACAGTAAGAGACTGGCATTTAACTAATTATCTGCCTCAGAAAAATTACCATTTCCAAGTATTATACCAGGTGATGGTTATATCACCTCACATGTTATTCTATGAGGTATCACTAGAACTGGGAAAACCTAGTAGTGGACTAGCAGTCCTGCAGGAAGGGCTTATGGGGGACCCCAGCTAAACACAAACTTACAGTGGAAATCATGTCCAAGGGTACTTGTTCTCCTCCTCTCCTTGGTGCTACTGAGTCCGCACCTGAAACTATGTCCTCTTTTGATTCTCTCAGTTGAAGATAGATGTTGGAAAACTGTATTGGGTCTGGTGGAGGGCACATGACATGGTAAGGACCTATTCCTATAGCCTGACAGGGAGATAGAATTGTTTAGTCTTGGAAGGAAGAGGTAAAGGGATGAGTTGATAATGGCTGGAGGCTCTGAAAGGGGATTAGAACCTCCTTCTGGCAGTACCAGATGAGTAAATAAATGCTGGTGGCCACATGTCAGTTTGCAAAGTTAGGAATGAAACTCCACCTACCACAAAAAGGTGGTGCAAAGCTAGGATATGTCACCCAGAAAGGGTCTCCATCCTGGTTGGCCGGCAGAGTGGTTCAGCTGGCAAGAGTCTCCCTCAGAGCAGGAGAGGAGTCAGATGCCTGGTGGCCCCTCCCAGCCAGCCTCTTGGTGGAACCATACAGCCATGGCATGGAGTAGGCAGGGAGCTGGCTCACACTGCTATTGAGTCAGTGGTGTGGGATGAGGTTGGATCTGGGTTTCAGCTTTCCCAGCTCTCCTTCTGTGTCACTGTCTGTGCTCAGATGCAAAATAACATCCCTGACTGGTCATTGCTTTGAAGTCCAGTCCAGGGCTTAGCAACTGTTTTTGTTTGGTTCAGTTATAGAGGTGGGTGTGAGCCTGCCTGTGCTGGTGAATGCCAGCCTGGGTAGCTTGCTTTGCAGTTTTTATCAGCCAGCTGCCTCTTGTGTCCCTCTTTCTTGGCAAAACCTGCACGTTGCAGTGCCTTCCAGAGAAGAGGCAGTGGGTGCCTTCCCAGGACACTGTTGTGGCTAACACAGGCTTTAAATAGGTTTTAACTGGGAGTAAATCGTATGCATATCCAGCTGAAGGCTTCCTGAGTGGGCTGGAAGGATGCTCAGTGTTCTCAGTGTGATGGTAGTCAGGTCCCTTCAAGACAGTTCGAAGTGTCCCTGAGAGGGCATTTGGAGCTACACCTGTCTAGGGTAGTGATCAGTGCCTCTGTCCCCTGCAGGAAACATGGCTGTGTGTCCATCCACAGCAGTGCCTGAGGGAGCCCTGGGCAGGGTCATTGCCATACTTTTGACCATACTCCTGCCCCCGACCCTGTGCAGCTCATGCTGACCTTGTTGAATGCTAACCTTTTTGGGTTGACTTGTGTGATCCAGAGAGCGTCGTTCTGTGCCATCCTCAGTGTCACTCCAGATCAGCCACGATGTCAGAACTCAGGATGCTCTGTGCACAGCTTTGCCTTGAGCTGCTTGCTGTAACCAGGTACTCGTGACTTCTGGTGGTCTGGTAAAGACTGTTCATCTAGACTGCATGAACTGTGGAGTAGGGAGGAGCCTTGGTATTTTGCTATTATTTTATTTTTACTTTCTTTTTATTTCTGTTTCATTCAGAGTCTGTTTTACGGAGGCTGCTTTTCCATATTCTGATACATATGAGCATAAAAACCACTCGTAAGTTCTCTTCCTGTAACTGAAGCTCTGCTATGAAAGTTACAGCACTTGCGTCTGACCTAGCAGGACAAGTCTGCATGTAAAATGTACATTAGCTGCTGGTGGCTTGCAAGCTTGCAGCTTCAGGCTCAGCATTGATGTGCACAAGCAAGCATCTCCCCAGGGTGGCTGCCCCATGAGCCCTTGCTCTCCTCTCAACCCTTAGCCTAACAGTAAATCTAGCTTTAATAAAGCAAAGATGGAAGAGGTTACTAAATGGTAGCTAATAAACAAAGTGACATGCATGAAGCCTGGTAATAACATATTGCTGTTAAAGAAAACGTGAAAAAAAATAAAAATTATGGGCATTGTTATTGCTGTCTTGTACTTCACCAAGGCTAAACTATCCATCATGCCGATAAGGCTGAAAGGAAAACTTGGCAATATAAGATGCATACATCACAGGGCAGTGAGTCCCATGGTCGCCTGCACTGCACCCAGTCTGTGCTGGGACTGCAGTAGCTTCTCTGCATCATCAGATAAACTGGAGCAGAGCAAGCCTGTCACTATAGTCTCTGTGAGCAAAAGGTCAGCAGGCAAATAGCTGTTGTGCAGCAGCTGGTTTGGAGACCTAAGCAATGAGGTGATGCAGACTGAGAATTAACTTTGGGGTATTAATGGGCCTAAAACACATTGGTGTGAATTGGAGAGAGCACCAGAGGAAGACAAAGGGAAGAAAGCAAAACAAAGAAAGAGTGATGTGGGGCGGGAGTCAACTAAGTGTGGTACCATTGATAACTTTGCACAATAGGCTGAACAATCAGTTTTATGGGAGAAGAGTCTTTCCCTGTAGAAACCATACTTGGCTCAGTTGTGTTGCCAGGGAATGAGAGTTTCTGAAGCCACTGAATGTTCTGGAGAGCTGTGCAGGCAGTGTAAGGTTGCCCTTGCAACCCTTGCTGGCTGAGGACTGTTCCCTGCAGTTTGCTCTTCAGTCTTCATCCTGTCCAGGTTATGTGGTTGATGGAACTCCTTTCATTTTCATTCTCCTCCTTCAGAACCAAAGACTGCTCTTTGGTCTTACTCAAGGGAGCTGTGTCCAAGATTTTCCCATTGTTTCCTTTGGTTGCTTCATTTGCTCTCTCTGCCAAACGAACCCTGTAGGGGTCTCCACAGGAGGGGTTGCAAAGCTGCTTGGGTGCTCCTGTGCCATGTGCACTGCCCTTGGCAGCACTCAAAATTTGCTATGGGAACAGGTGCTTCTCTGGCCCCTGCCCTGGAGCCTTCTGCAAAGTCTGGGCTGGGGAGTCCAACCCTGATGACGTGAATGGCTCTGGATGCACTGCATAAGCTTTCTCCACAGCCTGTCTTCTGCTGGGAGTGGGGAAGGATTATTTGCCAAATTGTGCTATGGGGGGAAAAAAAAATCACAACTACATGTGTAGCAGGCAGGCAGCAGGGCACAGAGCTGGCTGTTATCTTGGCAGTTACCTTCTTCACTTGCTTAGGGGCCTGCAGATGTCAGAACATGGCTGCTGAAATGAAATTCTCTTAAACCTGGAACATAAATCATGGACAGGACATAGTGCTGCATGAAGGCTGCCCCTGACATTTAGCTTGGCCTTGTCACATCAGCATCATAGCAGGGATGGTCTTCTATAGAGATCCTGCTGGGCTGGGTCATGATCTGTGTCCATACAAATGCATCCCATGGCAGTGGCAGCTCAGCAGAGCCAGAT